CCCTTCAAATTAAAATAAATATGGTGATTGTTAATGTTGAATTTCGATTTTCATGCATTAACTATATCTGCTTGAATCAGGCAGCGTTGTAACATGTGTACATGATGTTTAACATATATAATTCGGTAACACTTTACAATTAGATAAAAAAGTTGTCTTGAAAAAGCCTAACCAGAAAGTTTGAAGTAGCCTACTTTTAAAAGCTTGAAGTTTGAAGGTTTTAAATTTGAAAGTTTTAGTTTAGTAAGATAGATAAGATTAGGATAGATGATAGAAGATAGAAGATAGATAGATATAACTAAAATAGCTAATGTAACCTTATTGTACCCTAAGTTTGAAGGTTTTAAATTTGAAAGTTTTAGTTTAGTAAGATAGATAAGATTAGGATAGATGATAGTAAGATAGATAAGATTAGGATAGATGATAGAAGATAGATAGATATAACTAAAATAGCTAATGTAACCTTACCCTAAGTTTGAAGGTTTTAAATTTGAAAGTTTTAGTTTAGTAAGATAGATAAGATTAGGATAGATGATAGAAGATAGAAGATAGATAGATATAACTAAAATAGCTAATGTAACCTTATTGTACCCTAAGTTTGAAGGTTTTAAATTTGAAAGTTTTAGTTTAGTAAGATAGATAAGATTAGGATAGATGATAGATAGATAAGATTAGGATAGGTGATAGATAGATAAGATTAGGATAGATGATAGACAGACAGACAGACAGACAGACAGACAGACAGATAGACAGATAGACAGATAGACAGATAGACAGATAGACAGATAGATAGATAGATAGATAGATAGATAGATAGATAGATAGATAGATAGATAGATAGATAGATAGATAGATAGATAGATAGATAGATCTAAAATAGCTAATGTAACCTTATTGTAAAGTGTTACCTATAATTCAATATAAATGCCGTATGCAATTGTATGCATTAATGTTCTGATGTAGGTCTTAATTTATAGGGTTCATTGGTATTATTGCACATGTTTTTTCTGTGTTAAGATTGATCAAGAAACAGGCAACCTATAGGGTTGTCAGGTCAGAAAGAGGATGACACAAACAAAAGAAACTAAACAGGTGAAAAGTGATAGTGTGGCTTTTAAAAACACCTGCTATTGCATTTTTTTATATACATTGTATAAAATCTACAACAGGTGTTTGTAGTGCCATATATATATAGACCAATCATAAAATTGCCATTAGGAAAACATAGGAAAAATCATTTAATTCAAATTATTGGTTATTGTTCAGCAGTGTGCTTAATTTATTCTGTATGTCACAATTCCCTGTATCTCCATATTTCAAATGCTTCTTTATTGTCAATAGAGAGAGCCAAAAGTTAATTTAGAGTTGAGAGTGAATGAGGCAGAAAGTTTCAAGGAGGCTTCAGAGGTGAGGGAAAACAAATGACTAGAATAAGTTAAGAAAATTGTTTAGTTTTTTTCCATTACACATTCATTGTGTTTTATGTCTACACTGCCTTGCATAGCCAAAACAAAGTAACTACACATTTTGTGAAAAGTTATGACTACAGTTTTAGCTAAAATTGACTAAGGATGTGGCTTAGATTTGGAGACAAAAAAGCCTTTGTTGTGTACAGTTTATTGTATGAATGTGTAAACTGAAAGGAATATACAAAATATTTAGCAGCACGGTCTATGTTGAAATATTTCTGATACCTTTAACTTAGACTTATCAGACTAATTTGTACTTTTTTTATAGACAGAGCAGAGGGGATCAGACATGTTGACAGTTGTAAAAGGAGGTGGGTCTTCAGTACCTGTATTAAAACCCCACCAACCAGATCCCAAGACTATTGTGTGTCAGGAGCTTCTGGACAAAATTCTAAAATTTCAGGCTCAGTGGTACCAAGATTTTGCATGGCTTCATTTTGATCAAATAATCTGCTGCTTTTGAACAAACCAGCCTAAAAAGAAAGGCATAAATGAAATGACACTAACTGTTTATTGCATCTTATTGTTCTACTGATTTAAGGTCTCCTTACTGTGACATGTTTGTCAATTGAGTTCAATACATCTTTGCAATTGTGTGGTTTGAGTGACATTCCTTCCTGAAATGTGGACTAGAATAAAGTAGAGTGAATTTGCAAGTATCCATTACTGTGTGCCATTCACATACAAAACAACTACACAAAAAACTATTTGAAATATGTAAACAATATAGTGCAATATACAATACCATGTGCTATATAAAGTACAGAACATCTGAATTTCTTTCTTTCTTTCTTGTTTTATTGCTTTAAACAAATAGCATATTAAGCCAATTAAGCAAAAACCTGTAAACAAAGGTCTGAAAAAAAATGGTATAACGCTTGACATTCTGTCCCCCTCACTTTTGAAATGATGGCTATGCCCCTGGTGTTACCTATTATATATATATGAAAAATTATGGATACATTTTTTGTCTGATCAATAACATGCATTTAAAAAAGGTGAATTTTCATTTCATGCCAACTTTAAATGATGGTGGTGCATGCTGGGCTAGAGCTGAGGGGAATGGGTGGCTCATACTGGGCTAGACCAGGGGACAGGGTGAGGTATGTATGAACACTGAGGGCACATGAGGAATGCAGGGAAGGGGGGCTGATTCACTGGCCAGACTTCCGGGGGAAGGCGCCATTAACTCAAGTGACTTAAAGAGCAGCTGAACTGTAACTTCATCAAAGCCCCCTATAAAGCCACTGACCCCGTGGCACGTGCCTGTGTGGAAAATCATCAGGGCAGGCAATGCCAAAAGGCTTAAACGTACATTTGTCAATAACAACTGCAATTGTCTGGGGGTGTGATACCAAGTAAGCACTTTCACAACATCCCCCCGTGTGCGACTGTTCCACACTTACTGCCACAATAAAGACTTGCATGTTACCCACCCAGCTTCAGAAAGCAAATAACTTGCAAAGCTTGCAAAAATAGAATAGAGAGCAGTTCTGTTTCAATATTTTGGGGTTGGTAAGATTTTTTTAAATGTTTTTGAAAGAAGTCTCTTGTGCTCACCAAGGCTGTATTTATTAGATTAAATATACAGGGGAAACAAGCAACATTATAAAATATTATTACAATTTAAGATAACTGTTTTCAATTTGTTTCAATAATAATAATTATTATTATTAACGTTAAGGTAACACTTAACAATAAGGTATCATTTGTTAACATTAGTTAATGTATATAAGTAACATGTACTAACAATGAACAATACATTTGTTACAGTATTTTTTAATCTTTGTTGATGTTAGTTAATAAAAAGACAGTCGTTCATTGTTTGTTCATGTTAATTCACAGTGCATTAACTAATGTAACAATTACATTTTATTTTAATAATGTATTAGTAAATGTTGAAATTAACATTAACTAAGATTAATAAATGATGTAGAAGTATTGTTCATTGTTAATTCAAGTTAACTAAAGTAGTTAATTAATGAAATCTTATTGTAAAGTGTTACCATTATGAATGTTGAAATGGATAACATTTTTGTGCAATATTTTTTGTGCATAATATTTTTGTGCAATATTTTTTTATATATATTTATATAACTGTGATTCTTTGATGAATAGAAAGCTTAAAAGAAAATCTTTTATTTGACATAGAAACCTTTTGTAACATTATACATGTATTTAATTTATCTTTTGATCAATTTAATGTGTCCTTCCTGAATAAAACAAAGTATTAAAAAAAAAACCTCTTACTGAACCAAAAACTAACGGTAGTGTATATACTCCAATAATAAATGTTCCAACCAACAGAGCAACTCAAGCCTGAAATACAACTTAAATGCAAAGTATATTTAAATTTATCTGACATGTTCTAGCATTAGAAAAAAACACTGAACGTCTGGTAACATAATGCAACAGAAAACAGGTGTCTCAAAACATGTTTTTAAAAGTTGAACTACTTAAAACTTAAACTTAAAACTTGACGCAGTGTCTATAGATTCTGATGCTGAAAATAACTGTGATACATGATGCGTTGACCAAAGATGTCAGTCTGAATCACCTGTACATAGAATTCTTTTTTTTTTTTTTTAAATAGTGTAGACTGGAAGCAAGAACACGTCCTGTGTCAACACGTATGTCTACCTCGGACATATTGACAAACTTCACTGCAAAATGAATTGCTGTGGATCAAAACGACATATTGATTCCTAAAGTTACTTTTTGTAATGTCAGTTATTTACAATATCAAGAGTATTTTCAGCAAATATCTGATATTGATATGCTATTATTTGTTACCGATTAGGTTAATTAATCAGCATATCATGCCATTAATTTTATTCAATTTAATTTTAAAATTTTGAATCAACTGACTAATAAAAATATCATGTCTGTTTTGGAACAGAGACAAATTCACAAAAAATAACTGGAAGTGTTTTGGCTTTAATTGTATGTCAGATATATCAATAAGCAGATATTAAATCAGATGTCAAACTTATGAATATGCTCAGCCGATGTTGTGGCAGACTGTTTGACATGACAGATCTCCTTATATTACCCTCATTTAAACCTAATAAACGATTAGCGTAATAGAAATACAAACATTCTTTGGGAAAAACAAACATAATTTGCACAATTCCAAGAAAAGCATTGTTTAACCTCAAAATCTACTCATTCAAGCATACCACAGATTATATGTTTGTTACGCAATGGAAATGGTGTTTTTTCTTCTAGAGTAGAAACATAGAAAAGGTGTGGAATAATCTTCAGAGCACAGCGTGAAGCAGAAGGTGTGAGTTATGATTCAGTCAATAGATGTTCATCCAGCAGTTAGCACAAGTAAACAGGATACCTCAGAAGAACGCGAGCCACATAAAAGCCGCAGAAGTTAACGAAAGAGGCAGTATGCGAATGAGAGACGTGTGTGGGCGCCCTCAACAAACATAGCCTACATACCCTCCCCCTCTCGTGAAGAGTCACACTCCTCTCCTTCAAGCACACACACACACACTCAAAACACATGTAACCCAAACTTACCACTACTGCAAACAGCTACCCTAACCAGTGCAGAGCTGTGTTTCCAGAAGCAAGGCAAATCAGAAAAGAGTGACTTCATTTAAATGAGGGCTGAAAAACAACCAAGAGGTGTATTATTAGATGAGCCGGGCGTGTATAACCTACAATAGACGGGCAAGTAAATGAGGTACGCCATGTGCTCCATTTCTTATGATGAGGTGTAGCCTCCTGAGACACTGCAATGAATTGGCCTGTCGCTGTGCTTTATTAAAGAACCGGATAAGTCAGCACAGCGGTGGGTAAGCTATACAGCTGGGACGAAGCATAACCCCTTTAAGAAGTTTATGCTTACAGCATCTGCCTAATGTGCTAGTTTGATTCAATGGATTTCTGTAAGGATCACGGTGAGGCGTCTGGGCCTCTTACTGGATTTTAAATAAAGCAAAGGCCTCATGTAGACGTTCCTGACTCTGGTCTGATCAAGGTACTATTCCTTAAAGAGGTCATGTCATATATTTTTAGGACTTAATTTTTCCACTGAAATCCATTTAATTCAAATCAATTATTGAATTAAATAATGCTAAACACCGGTTTGTGGGTTTGTTATCAAAGAACTCTGGAATGTCAAGTGTATCATGGTTTTCTAAATAATTAGATTAACAATAATGCATCAATGTTCTCAAAAAAGAGACATCTAAAATGAATAGCTGCATGAGGTGAAGCTCAAGAGTGAATGAACATCAGTAAACTGAAGCCCAGTCTATAGAACACATACTGTAGGCTATGAGATTAATCAGATAAAGATACACAACATAAACGTAACATTAAGACTTGTATCTGCATAAAAGGTTGCAAATGCAAGTAAACTTGAACTAAGTTACATGCTAGTCAGAATGTGTAACTCCCGTTGTGGATGCGCTCTTCCCGTAACAAGGCGTTGAAGCACTGGCAACTAAAGCACAAAGAATTTACAACATGTTATAGTGTTCTCATTATAAGTGCAACATGACATCATGACTTTGCGTAAACATACACGCCACTTTCAAGTCAAGTGGCGTGTTATCTATACGCATTTTGAGCTATCCGCATGTATGTCCACGCCGAAACGAACCGTCATCTTTTGCGTGTATGTCTACGCCGTTAAATGTCCGAGTGATTCCGCGTGTATGTTAAATGTCCGAGCGAAACGAAGCAAAATGTAGATCTACATCTGGGGAGCGATATTTTTGTTCCTAGGATGGTAGGGGAAGACTCATAAATGGTATTAACCCCAGTGACGGGTAGGTTTAGGGTCGGGGTTGGGGTAGGTCATATATTTATATATACAGTAATATAACGTTAAGTCAACGGCGTTGATAAACACGCTGAAAAGCGATTATGCGTGTTGATAGCACGCCAAAAATGGAAATAATAAATAGCAATAAATAAAAAGCAGGAATAAATAATAAAGAAAGTGCAGCATTCTTTGTCTGCTTAAAGAGATTCAGAAAATTATTTTATCATTTACTCACCCTCATGTCGTTTCAATGACTTTCTTTCTTCTGACAACATGAGGGTGAGAAAATTATAAGTGAATTTTCATTTTTAGGTAAACTATCCCTTTAATCTAGAATATCCAAATCAAGGCCATTAGGGGGTATCTTGCTACAATGTTTCTGTAATCACCCAAATGTGAACAATTTTCAGGCCAACAACAACCCACAAAACGTCACACCATTAGTGTGACACTACATAAGAAATTATTTGGGGAAAAGAGAAAGAACATCACCAAGATGACCATTCCACAATGTGCTAACGTGTTCACATGACCAACAAAAACAGGCCCATTACAAACTGACAATCACATTTTTCAAACTGTTATTATGTGCTAACTGAGAAAGTACGCATACAACTAACAATATTTAGCTAGTGCAATGTTGGCTTGAGCTAACAGCTACTCTAGAGAGTATCAGATCAGACATGAGGACATTAACTATGACTCCACTCATAGGTGTTTGGTCAGAGTCCATTCTGTTTATCACTCTGGGAATAAATTAAATAAAATGCATGATTTATTGGTATTAAAATGGGTATGAAAAAACATGATCGGTGCATCACTATAAATCATTGCTGATATTTTTCTTTTTATTTGTTGTTTATTTGCTTTATAAGAGGCCAAACTGGCCTTAAACCAAAAATATCTGTAACCATTTGATATCAGAGGCAACCACAGCATTTTAATCATGATGCAAACAAAGATGCTAACACACGTAGCAAGAGCAGTTGTTTTTTATTTGAACTAGATTGTATAATTTTATGTTGTATAATTTCAAGATTTAAAGCAAAACAGAGTGGTCTGACTTCAGATTTGTGCAATTATGCTACATAAAACACCTGCACAAAACAAAAACAGCAGAAGGATTAAAAAATAATAAATTAAAATGCAAATTCACTCTCTGGCAGAAGGGGGCGTTTATGGAATAGCAGCATGTATTTGGGTACCGCTGTACAAAGCAACGCTGCGCTTATAAACACAACTTTATACTGAGGTAAGGAAAAGAAAATGCCATCAAAACTTTTCAGAAGACAGTCAGTTCCCTCCAGAGATAAATTTATATAACCCCCCACCCCTAATTAAATATTTATATTTTTCTTCCTATATATCAAGAATCGTGAACAGTGAGCTTGCTGTGCCTGGTAGCCTACAGTATTTTCTCTCCTTTTTGCGTCCGTCTTCAGTGTGTCCCGTCTCTGGCCTGTGTTAATATCCTGACTTCTGTTGACAGACTTCGTAGTATTTCTACACAAATTACATTTTGGGAAATGATTGCAATGCAAAGCCAAAAAAAAAACTAAAAACCGGTCAACCGGTGCATCCTTCAGAAATCATTCTAATATGCTGATTTGGTGCTCAAGATTTCATATTATTATTATCATTGTTGAAAACAGTGCTGCATCATTTTTTTAGGATTCTTTGATGAATAGAAAGTTCAAGAAAAGAACATGCATTTATTTGAGATAGGCTTAGAAATCTTTTGTAACATTATACAGTTTTAAATGTCTTTATTGTGACTTTTGATCAATTTAATCCATCCTTGAATAACAGTTATGGGAAAGCTGAGAGGTCCTTCATTTGAGCAGGTAAGGCTGCTTTTAACTAAGCCACATAAGCTTAGAGAAAATAGTAGCATGTTTTTATCAGTGCAGCAGTGTGAGAAATCACCAGGTGAGTCTGCAGGAAGAAAACAACATCTATACTCTCACTTTTTTAGCTGCTTCACTTAAAAACACAGCCTCCCACACACAGTCCTTCACATTTAATACTGTCAAACCTATTGTGAACAAATAACTCAAACCTGTTTTGTAAACTATACCATCCGATTTAATAAGAAAAAAAGATCTGACTTTAAGGGATCATGAACTGCATTGTTTTATAATGTTTCCTGGGGTGCACTTATAATGTTAGTATGATTTTTACATAAAATGTTTTCATAATTTAGAAATAAAAGGCTGAATCTGATTTGAATGCTGTTTAAAGGGGCATGTCTGCTGTGAGACTTCAGTGTAAACGCCCACTGCTGTGAGTGGCTAACATCCTTGCATATGAAATAAGTATGAAAGGTTGCAGTGATGAGCATTGTAGCCGATCAGACATGTTGAGCGCATGAATGCAGTGATCTCATCATTGAAACTCGATTTCTAAACTCTAACGAATGCTTTTATCATAACTAACAGTACAATGTGCAACAGTCCATGGTGGAAACACGATGTAAAAAAGAGATTCGTTGATTATAACGAGAGTTTTGGCGAGAGTTCAGAACTCAGTTATGAATATGATATGATATGATATGAGCACAGTAGCCTATGTGTTACTAAACATGACAGTGAAGATGGATAGGTTAAACCACGGGCGTAATTTCCTATGGGGACAGGGGGGACATGTCCCACTTTTCAAAATCCTGTTTGTTTTTTCCAAGCGCGTCCGCGCCGCATCGAGATAAAAACATCTCAACTTTTCAGAATGCCGCAAGCGCACCGTAGGTCACGTGACAAGAATCAACCACAGCAACGACAGACGCCTCCGGAGCGCAACCGCCCAAGCGGAAAAAGGAGAACGCGGCGCGCCTAGCGTTTTCTACGCGTTTTTAGGCGCTATGTGAATGGCACCCAAGGCATTTTAAGTCAATCTACTGCAGTATCTCCTCTCTCAATCAGTAGAAAATGTGGTTAACAACCAGTCATGCTTGAAAAAAAAAATAATAACGTCATATACCATGAAACCGGTATAATTTTGAAAAAATACTGTGACATAAATTTTTGGTCATACCGCCCAGCACTATGAAATGTACCGAACAAACAAACAATACTCAACTGAGACATTCACATTGTTGAAAAAATAAATAACCACATTCCTAGATCACTGCTTCTCTCATGAAGACAAAAAGGAGGGCTACAGCGGTTTTACGATTTTCAGAGAATGACAACTTCTTTACAAAAAGCTATCCTATTGCTTCAGAAGATATAAAATATAGTGTATGAGTCAAACCTTTTGGAGGAAAGAAAGTCTATACTGGTGTGCAACAAAATGAGGGTGAGTAAATAAAATATCTTTATGGGGCTAATCTTTTAAACCACAGTATACGATTCTAAATATAAAAGATAAGGAAATCAACTCCTTTTATGCTAGGTTGTGCATCAAATAGTGGTTTAAGAGATAAAAATCAAAGGATCCAACAGTAATCCCTCAAACCAATAGATACTAACCCTACCATTCATACGTTTAGGGAAGGTACAATTTTTAAAATATTTTTAAAGTCCCCCTGTAGTCAATAATTGCATCCCTTAAAACTCATCTTTGATCATCAAAATGACATATTTTAATGTTTTTTCCTGTGAATTTTTTTTCCTTACGCCTTAAAATAACTTGAATTTAACTCTACACACTTGCTTCATTTAGTATACGTGGTTCCTTGAATATGCAAATTAGCCCCGCCTCCACTCACTCACACCAGCAGAGATCCACTCAGCCAACTTATTGAGGTAAACGCTGCACAATGGTATTGCTCTTTACGTCGGACACATAACGGTAATTTATATGATTAGCCTTTTGACTGTGTTATCAAACATCTAAT